AAGCCCGAAACAGTTCTGTATCAAGTTACTCCCAAAAGCTATAATCCCTTTCTGCTATTATGATTGGCCTGAATCGGCCTGACAGGGGGTCACCCGTTTTGGGACCTTCAGCCACCAGACGAGGTTTGTTTACTTCGGGAAGCCAATTGGGTCGGTGTTCGCACAATCCTCAGTGAATAAGCACCCAATGTCTTTAATTTGTATAAAGGCGAGCTAGAAAACTCGATTCGAATTTACACACAACAAGCATTATTCTTCCCCTAATGACTTTATTGACAATACAATTTTTTATATGTTCTCTGTTATTGCATGCTTAGCATATTCACTGTTGTTGGTTATTTCATGGTTGAGCCAACGTTCGAAGTCTTTTTTTCTTTCGAAAGTTCAGAAGACTTTGCACTGCCGTTTTATGTTAGTGAAGTAATTGAAACCCTTTGTGGAGAGTGATGTCAGTTCATTGAGATGCTGATGCAAGAAACCGCATAGGCGACACTGGATTCCCGTATCAGTCTGAAATCAGTGATAAAGTTAATAGTAATTTATTGGAAACCATAGAAAGTAAACAGAATTTATGCTCTACATGATTCACGACACTATCGCTTTTTTTAAACAAAAGAATCTGAAGGATGGTGGCGGCAATATTAATATCAGGCTTTAAATAATTCTACGAAACTACAATACTAATAATGGATAAATCAGTGTACCTATATTTTTTGCGTTACTTCAAGGCAGTATACATTCGCCCGGCGTATTATATGCGCACATGCGGTACATGTCAGGATGCCGGTGGTTAGGGTTACGCTTTGCGAATTGGTGTTACTGTGGTAGCTATGATAATGGTAGTGTTTAGGTTGTGGTAAAGGTCGGTTGGTGCTAGCGTTGTGTTTTGGTTTTAATCCACGCAAATTTGTATTCAGGTTGTGATTGGTGTTTATACACGTTAATTGGTGTTACAATTGTGGTTAGTTTTTTCTCAAGGTGGGCTGGTGTCAGTGCTGTGTTTTGAGTTAATCCATTACTATCATCGGCCTTAGCTGCTGTCGCAGGTTGGTAATCTCGCGCAGCTGGTTCCAGTATCCTCAGCGACATGAACTGTCGTCCCAGGCCGTGACCTCGCTTGTGCAAACACCTAGCTAAAATTTTTATATAGGTTGAAGTATTTACAATCTTCCAGTTTTTCTGGACGCCAGCCGTCGATCCAGCAGGAATTAGATGATGGCATTGAACTGTGGAGTGGTCCTCGGAAGCTGACCGCAAAGAATAACCACTTAAATCAGTTTACAAGGCAAAATGGCTTTTCAAATTAACCGCGGGAATAATCGCCAACTTTCAAATTCTAAGTTGATTCAATTTCCAAAATCTTCAATTCTCTTCACTCCTTCGCCTTTATTCTAGT